GTGAGCTATATTTGATTTCTATAATATGTATGACAGAATCGCCTAAACGCACGGAAATTCACCCTAGTTGACACAAGATCCCCATAGTATACCGCCCCAGATGTCACCTGCAAGGTATTCAGCATTATATTACGTTCATTACACCAGAGACTACATTCCCAGAGGATATGATGAGCAGACTGTTCATAGTGAGAGTTAGGTGTTGAGCATTGACACAATGGTGACTCGACTAATTTAAATGAATAAAGCTTGCTCTTAAAGTTACCATGACCCGTAAGAAATTGAGCGACACAGTGATCCACCTCAAGCCATGTCCTCGACAACCGTTCGCGAACAGATGGAAAGAATTGGTAAAGATGGCGCCCCTTGGATGATTCATCCCAGCGTTGTTGCCATTCGTCTATGAGGTCATTATAGACATCGGACTGCTGTTGAAGCAATCTTGTAATTTTACCGCGATCCCGCGCGCCCAAAAAATCGCATTCCATGTTTTGTTGTCTTGAATAGTACATGGCTGCACGTCTCTGCACTTCGAGATCGACCGGAAGCACACCCGCCAACACCGGCAAAGCCTCGGTGCTAACCGTCCTATATGCCTTGCACAAGAATATCAGTGCAAGTCGTTGGCCTTGTAACAGTTTGCGACGGACAGCGCCTACGGTCGCCCTATCGGCCCATACAGGTGCACCATAGCACATAGAACCTAAATAAGTAGCTCCGTATATGATCTTTAATGTATTAAATGATAGACCCCATGTCGCAGTTGATATCCTTGTCAATGCACAGAAACTCTTTTTAGACTTTTCATTAACTATTTTAATATGTTCGATAAATGAAAAGTTTCTTTCTAAAACTAATCCTAGGTAACACACTGAGGCCTTATTTTTTACGGTAACATTGTCAAATCTAATGCTTGGCGGTGATTTGAGGTTACCTTTTAAAAGTAGCTGGAAGGTTTTGTTGGGTGCAAAATTTAAGCGATTACGTTCACCCCATTGAGATATCAAGTTCAAACATCTATTGGCTAATCTCTCAAGCCCCGCCCTAGTATCAGATTCCACCAGTAATAAGCCGTCATCAGCATACGCGTTCAGAGTACACCCGGATGGTATTGGTATCGCAAGAAAATCGTCGAAGCCGATATTCCACAAGTATGGACCTAGCACCGATCCCTGAGGACATCCCATTGTAAGCGCCTTCGACACAGAATGATGACCAAGTCTTAGTTTAGTAGTACCTTGTGAAAAGTACGAAGATATAAGGGAATAAATATTTTTAAAGCACCCCCGTGATTTTAATTTCAGCAACAGCATGGGCCACCATGCGTTATCGAAGGCGCCAGATATATCTAAGAAAATAGCCAGCACGTATTGAAATTTTGACTCTGTGACAAACTTTCTAACCGATATAACAGCGTCAGTTGTCGATTTACCCAACGTAAATCCAAATTGTCTATCATGAAATTTGACTCCACCTGGCAGAAGCCGGGGCACTACAAGACGTTCTAAAAGCTTTCCTAACGATGGTAACAATGTGATTGGTCGGTAGGATTTAGGATCATCCGGTGGCTTGTCGCCACTTTTTGGTATTATACGAATATTACCGCACCGCCATATACGAGGAAATATTCCTTCAGCAATGCAACGTTTAAAGACAGTGAAAATCGTGTCACCCGAAAGTTTACAAGCTTCTTTGATCATTTTGTTAGATATTTTATCATCGCCCGAAGCCTTGTTTAGTGGCAAGGATCTAATGATACCGAGAAATTCGTCTGAAGATGGTAAATCAGACATTGGAGACAGTGGTGGTTCGATGGCCCACTGCCTGATCTGTCGGTGATGATCAGTGTCGTTTTCCGGCCGATCGTCAGGTACGAGTGATTCTAAAAGATATTCTGCTGTTTCTTCTACTCCTGTGGTATATCTGTTATTAATTTTGATGTTCTGTATGTATGCAAGGTCGATTGATCTATTTGCCTTAAATTCGTGATACAAAGGTGACCACGGGCCCTCTCTATCGAGTCTATCGACAAGTTTCTGAATTAAGTTTCCCTTCGATTTTTCCACTGCAGCTCTGTAGTGGGACCTGGCAACTCTAAGAGCAATGAGAGCATTATTGTACAAATCTCCTGTTACGTTGTGTTTTTTAAAATTGTTTAATTTTCTACGAGCTTTCCGGTAGCTTCTACGTAGTTCGACTAATCTATCATTCCACCAATCACATCTACGAGTGTTAGTGATAGATCCGCGACCAATAGATACATCAGCGCAGTATGTGAAAGTTTCTGATAGTATTTCTGCGCTTTCCTCAGCTGATAAACTACTGCGACTGAAGTCTTTGGTATGAGTTGCAAATAGTGAACCAAACAAAGCCCAGTTCGCACCTTTAGTTTTATATCTAAAATTAAAAGGAGCCCTTTGTGGATCCCGTGCAACCCTTGGTATGAATTCGTACACGATCAAGCGGTGATCACTACAGGATGCGTCCGGGAGGACACGCCATCCGGATATCGAGACGTCGCCGCGCGTAAGCGTCACGTCAATAGAAGACTCACCCATTGGGTTGCAAAAAGTTGGTGGTGCATCGGGGGTATTGTGAATAGTAAGATTCATTTCCGCAATGAAATCTTCAACCGCACAACGTCGAACCGTGTCGGTTGAACGCAACTTGCCATACCATAATGAAGATGACGCATTGACATCAGCGCCAATGATAATTTTATGTCCCACGAGGCACTGCAAGACGTAACGTAAGTGATGTAAGTGAGGATCAATAGGATGTGAATATTGAAAATAGCAGCTCACTACGTAAACCTTACAGGTAGAGGATGAGATCTCAGCAACGGCGCAGTGTGACGTCATAAGATTACGCAAAGATGTTACCGTAAAATTAGAACTTGCAACATATATCCCAGCCTGCGAACGGCAGTCAAGCTGTACTACATTACGACGCAAGCGAGCGCTCTGATATTGTTCTTGTATAAGGACAATGTCTAACTTTTGTTCTAAAACTAAACGGTCTAATTCTGATGTAGCTATTTTATCGTTATGAAGATTTAACTGGCCTATCGAAATATCATCCATTACTTAGTAAGTTACTCTATAAACTTTTTTTTTTTTTTTTTTTTTTTTTTTTAAGCTGAACTATTCAGTAATTGGTATTTAATATTAGCTGCTCCAGTTTTAATTTGTATGTGGCACAGTCGTGTGAGCCGCATCGATGGTCAGATGGTTTTTTGAACCGCTTGCACTGTGCACACGTGGGCTTAAAATTTGGTGTGTCTTTATCTGGACAAGCTCGCGTTTCGTGTGCGGCGGCGCAATTAGCACAAGTAGGGGTTTTAATGGTGCAAAACTTTTGTACATGACCGAATTGCTGACAATTTAAGCAACGAACTACTTCTATATCGTCTATGAATCGACAAGTGGCCCAGTCTATATAAAGTTTATCTTTTGTGTTGGCTAGATGTTTCCGAACTGCTGCCTCCAATTCTAAGCCTATCCATTGACGCCCATTTTCTAGTTTACGATGCCTAACAATTTTGGTTGACTTAATAAAATCGTTCTCACTTAATTTTAATTCGTCCTTGATATTCTGACGGTATAAAGCTGTTAGGAAGGCACGATCTTCCATAGAACCGGGTACGTCTTTTACAATTATACGGGGCTTTCGGCCTTTCGGTTTTTCTAATCGTAAACCTGCTGATTTAATGGCGTCTACAGATTCCAGTTTCTTAAGCTGCCGTTCGTTAGCTACACGTAACACGACGCCTGCCTTAGAGGTTTTTTTAACGCCTACAATTTGGAAACCCTCATCGCTCGGTTTAATAGCCTTCATAAGAGCTTGTTTCGTTGCTGACGAGGTCGCATAGTCCGCTAAGCGTTCCGTAGTGGGATAGGCAATAACACAAGGCCTAGGAACGCGCGCTTCAGTAGGTACCGGGCACGGGGCAGATTTAGGTGGTAAGCGAAGCTTAAGTTTGTCCGCGTACGTTAAACTCGTTTGTTGAGTTGCGATACCCTCCATTTGTCGCTCAAAATTCGCTAACTTCGCTTCGTTGCTAAAGGATTTTATTGCTAACATTGATACGATACCGGTAATTCGTTGAGTAATATCCATAATCGCCGTTTTATTCCCTACATTCATCCTAGATCCCTGATCATTAACTAATTCATTAATTTTTGATAAGTAATCGGTGGCCTGTGACACTAAGTCACAGTAATTGTACTCCCCACAGTTATCACGACCGGTAGGAGACGAAACATTTCCACTTAAGTCCGAATTAATAATGCGTCTACGGCTTCCGTCTTTCGGCGTGAAATCCGCAGGTGACACTTCGCCAAATGTCCTTTTCCCGGTTGGTGTTAGAAATTCACTTGTACCGCCGGGATCCGGCAACTCGCTAACGACCGACATAGCCAAACAAAGACACACCAATCAACAATTTAAAAAAGAAAAAAAAAAACAAGCTCAAAAATAAACAATACGCAGAGAAAAATCAATTTAAACAAAGGATACCGCCTACCCACTTTTAGTAAGATAATAAATTTACTCACCAATAGTCGTAATAAAAGAATTCGGCACTATATTTATGTTTAGAAAACAATAAAACTTACTGAAATTCTTTAGAAACACTATACACAACCTTTAGCCGCCCGCAAACCGGAAACTAGTCACATAAAAGCACAGAAAACAATATTAAAATTGTTAGCATACGAAGTCACACGTTAGTACATCTCAGTACAATAAATCATTGTCTTTCTTATATTTTGAAGAAATAAAACGAATAACATATCTCGCTCCCGACTTTCATTTCGTCCTCAAACATGTTTCTTGCGTGTGTGTGTCCGCATGTGTTTCCCTAAATTACCCTTACATGAGAAAAAATCTTACACATATCACACTGAAATGGTTTCTCACCAGTGTGCGTACTCATGTGATTACTTACTTTATGCTTGTCTGAGAATTGTTTTTTACATATAATACAATGAAACGGTTTCTCACCGGTGTGTATACGCATATGGCGCCTGCAAACATCCGATCGTGAGAATTGTTTCTCACACATATTACAATGATATGGTTTCTGACCAGTGTGCGTACAGCATATGGTCAATTAAACCATTCTTTGCCATGTATTTATTTTTACAGATGTCACATTGATATCGCTTCTCACCAGTGTGTGTACGCATATGAGATATTAAATTATCCCGATATAAAAATCGTCTCATACATTTGTCACATTGATATGGTTTCTTAATAGTGTGTTTACGCATATGTATGGTAAACAAACCCTTTGATACGAATTTGCGTTTACATATATCACAATATGTTTTCTCGCTTGTGTGTTTACTACGCATATGATAATTTAAAAAACCCTTTGATGAGAAACTAATGTTACACACAGTACACTGATGTAGTCTTTGAGCGGTGTGTGTATCAGTACTTGTACTGTACCCTCGTGAGATATCTTTCTTCCACACATCAGAGCTTAGGCAAATGTGTCTCTCTAACTCACACTTAGAACTGTAACATTGCTGACACGTGTCGCACGTATATTGTACACGTTCGCTGCGCGGTACACTTGTAGGTCTCTCTTTATTGTCATCGGCGAGAGTGAATGTCACTTCATTTGTGCTTTTTGCTGTCATTTTGTGTACAGCAGTGGCTTTATTAACTTCTTGTAATGTGTCATGTATGAGTTCATGGTTTTCCAAGTTTCTAGAGGTTAAATCTTCTGGATTCCTCTGTACAGCTTTTTTAAATCTCTTCAAGTTTAGATCACCTGGATAAAAGATAAAAATAGTATTTAGATTATTTCTAAGCTTGTAAACTCTGTAATCAAAAACTATAAGTACAATATAAAAAACCGAAAAGACAAATATTTTGTACATAAACTTATTACCGAGTTCTAAATAGAAGAAGGCCAACAGGCCGGAAGGTATCTATAGCATTTATAATGATAGCTATTGCATTGGGTATCACATTTAGTTAGTTAGTCTTGTTTAGGTTCACTTAGGTTTATTTTTCACTTTTTATTTGGTACCCGTTAGCCGTGGTGTTGGAAGTCCGGTCAACTTTTTTTAAATAGTAGTTATTTTTGGTATAAATTAAGCAGTGGTGTGAACCATAAATTGTTGTTCTGGGCCTTTTTTTTTTTTTTTTTCCGTGCTTAAAACCGCACGCCGTCTAGGGTACTATTAGCCGGGGAACCAAGTATACCCTAGAAAGGAAGTCCCTGTTGCCCCGACATACCTCGGGCCATCTACAGCAACAGGTAGACGACCCCCCCCCGTGTGGGAACCCCATGTTCCCTGTGCTCCCTACAGGCGAGCGCGCTTCGCAAAGCGCTCGCCGCTACCCCGGCCTGCTTCTGCTAGGGTGACAGATGGCCTCACCTGTCACCCCCAGGCCTGCGCTTATGGAGGACGGAGGTCGTTCTGCGACCTCCGGCGCCTGAGTCGCCTGCGGTACCTGGCCCGTTCCCGGGCCTGGCGGGCCGGGAGAGTCCTAAACCTCTCCCGGTCCCGCTCCGCCGTCTCGAGCATAACTTGCTCGCTGAAGGAGACGGCAGAGTTCCACGCACTCTCGCTCCGCACAATAGCCGCAATCAGGCTATCGAGCGAGAGAACTCCCACTCCGATGGCCGCCACGAGGTCTCACTTCTGCTCAACCCACGCCGGGCACTCTGCCAGCGTGTGGAGAGCCGTGTCCACGGTCTGGCCATCGCAGTGGTGGCACTCAGGCGGGTTGTTGTTCTGCGCCTGGGTGTTCTTTGTGTATGTTTGTAAAGTTAAAGTTAAATGTTATGTTTATAAAGTCCCTTGAGAGATATACGGGATATACACCTAGTGCGAGCGTTGTCTTTAAAAAAACACACAATATACATACTTGTCCAGTCTCCGGACTGTTCTTCGTTTACTAATGTAAGCGAAGAACAGTCTGGAATGCAATTATTGAGACGAGGAGGACGATTAGGTCGGGAGAGAACGCATCACCATAATCGATAATAGCGAAAACCCGTGCTAGGGCCCACAAATAGTTGTCTCAAGTCTGGGTGTTTCGTGTCCGCTCTTAGTTAGAGAGTTGTTTATTTATAGGAGAAATACAGAGTATACTTACTTGACTGTTCTTTCTTCACAATCATTAGAGGACCATCGTCTGAGTCTGCAGATTGTATGATGTCAGAGACGCTGTTCTCTTCTAGAGCATCCTCGTCGGTATCTATGAACAAGTGCAATTCGGTTTGTACGGCTACTCTTTATTTGCTGAAGCCGTGGAAGAGCCATGCTGAGGCTCTTCTCTGAGGCTGTTACTAAAATTGGTGTTTAGCTATTTTTGTACTTGCTGTGCTTAGCTCACTGAAGGGAAAATTCTCACTTTCTGGGCGAGCAGGGACTCAAAAAACCATCGCATTTTGCTAAAAATAGGGATTGCAATCCAGCAAGTGGGATCGCACGATCCAGCGGGATCCTGCAAAATTTTAGGCCTTGCATCAGCCGGTGCAAATTTATCCAAATTGCTGCCTTTAATCTACTCAGCAACGCGTTTTACGAGCGACGTTGACGTTCAATCTTTTGTTTTGCGTCTGAATTGCACGCACACTCGCGCATAGTCTGATTTGCGCCATCACGACGCGACATGTCAGTCAGTTGTGATTTGACTCGTCAACGTGGTTTTGTTTTAGTGACAAAAACGAAACCACGTAAAATTTAGGCGATCCGCAAGGTTAGTATAATGTTTGTTCACTTGTCGTCGAATTAGCTATTATTATAACCCCAAGGAAGATATCGTCCTAGTCCAATATTATATGTTACTAGCTGACCCGCGCAACTTCGTCCGCGTCTCTCAATAATAATAAATTATCTCCGTTTTTGAAACATTCTTCATTGGTGCTCCGCTCCTATTGGTCTTAGCGTGATGATATATAGCCTATAGCCTTCCTCGATAAATGGGCTATCTAACACTGAAAGAATTTTTCAAATCGGACCAGTAGTTCCTGAGATTAGCGCGTTCAAACAAACAAACAAACTTTTTAGCTTTATAATATTAGTATAGATTGTCTTTATTATACGCAGGACTGCCATTTGTACGATGTAAATCCTGATGTTATTATAAATTTGATAGATTTTCGTTAACTGATTTGAATATGTTTTTTTTAATTTAATTGTCAAATGTTTGTACTAGCCACTAGTTATTTACAAGGTCAGAAATTATTGCTTTACTGGCAATATTAAAGGATGTTTCTTTCAAAACCGGTACAGAAGGCTGTTGGTGAGAAAAATGAAAAAAACTTGAGGCATTATTTCAAAAAGTCTGAAGATGGAGGGAAAGCAAAATATCTTCTAATGTTCTATTTTTTTTTAATTAGCCAACGTTCTACCACTGGCCTAAAAACCCACTTGAAAACTAAACACTGTTTAATAATAGGTAAATCATTTCAACTAAACACGGAGGTATTATCTAAAGCACCCTCACCGTCGACATCATCACAAAATATTGTTGAGGAAGAAGAACTTCCCAAGAAGGAAAGTAAAAAAACTATCGATGGCTTAAATAGCCATAAGGAAAATTCAATGCAAAAAATAGTTTCGTTTAGTTCTCAAAGAGTGGTTTTGAACTTCGAAACTTTCCTAATACAATCAGATCCACAGTTACAAATGTTTCAAATACAGTTAAAAATGACATGATTATCGAATTTTCACATCTCAAGAAACAATCACAAAGATTTTTGCTTGTCGAACGAGTGGAAATCTCAAAAAAACCGCCGATATTTGAACGTAAATGTTCATCACAAAGAAACTTGGTCTGATTCGAATACATGGTTCATGTACTGCTGAGCATTGTATTGAATTGGTTAAAGAACGCTTGGCGAGTTTTGGTCTTGACTTTAAAACCGATATTATCGGCATGACTACTGACGGTGCAAGCGTCAAGCTTTGGTTTGCACACGATATACAGTTAGCTGTGTGCGGTATTCTGTACAAAAAAAAAGGGTCGAAGAAGATATAGAACTTACAAATAAGTCGTTGACCTATTTCGATATCGATGACGAAAATGTTGAAGTAATAAACGATGAGCAAGGTTTGTGTTAGATATCGACACAAGGGCAAGGGCATCGACACAAGGAATACGATTGCCGGTTCGCTATGAACTGGTTTATTCTATAAACAATACAACGGCCGGCGGCGTCGTGCGGGGGGAAGGGCGCGCTATATACTCGTATCTAATTTTTTGTAATTTTTATGTTTCACTTCTAGTCCAGTCATTATAGTAAGTTCACCTCGGAATTCGAGATACCCAGCTGTAAGTCTGTAAATACTTGTATATGGACACCCTAAAAGTTGTCTCAAAACCTACATATGGTAGGGTGTAAGCAACTATTAAATTTCAAGGTCAAAAGTCACAAAAATCGGTTTATTGCGCTTTTTTTGGAAATATCACATTTCCTATGGGTTTCTGCTATTTGTATTCATTATCAATATTGTAGAATACAAAATTCTCTTCAACTTATTATTATAACTGGACTTATTCTCTACACAGAGTACTGAATTATTAAAAGCAGCCTTAAGTTTATCCTTAAAGTTTTCACAACGCTTTGCGGTTTTAGGTATCACCACAATTCTTTTTTCTGACACTTTTTCATACCTATCACAGAAATATACTAATTGACCACAGTGGTCAGAATGTAATTGATTGATTATTTTCTTGTACTTAATAACAATATCTGTAAATATATTGTCCAAACATGTGGCAGTGGTGGCAGTGATTCGTGTAGGTTCCAAGAACAATTTCTTCAGATTGTATGATTAAAAAAGTGCCTTGAACTTGGTTACTATACTTGAATTTTCCAAAAGGTTAATATTGAAGTCACCACAGATGATAACCTTCTTTTTTGATCTTGTTACTTTAACTAATACTTCGTCCATAACACGTTCAAAACAATCATACATAGCTGAAGGAGGTCTGTATACACATACTATTTTACTATGAAACCTTTTAGTTCTAAACAGGCTATTTCTGTAGTTCGCTCAACTGATAAACTAACATTGTCATGGCGCTCTTTAAACTTAAGTTTCTTATTAATGAGTATCATAGTGCCACCATGTATTGATGTACTTCTGCTGTACGAGCTGCCTACCTGGTGGTGGTCAAAATTGAACATAAACTGATCCCCTTTTAGCCAGTGTTCAGTAATACAAAAAATATCAATTGCATTGCAGTTCATGAACAGTTCCACCTCCAAGTCTTTGCCCATAATTCCTCTAATGTTTTGATGCATCAAATTTATATTATTTATCTTATTATTTTTAATAAATTTACTGCGATTGAACTTTCTATTAGTGTTCAAATTAATAGTGCAAGAGGTAGCCTCTATAGTCTTATCAGTAAATTTAAATTATTTAAAATGTCAATCTCATTATTATGTAACTTATTAGATATGTCATTTAAATTTTTATAAATGTCTAAAGAAATATCTGCCAACGGATTGGCAAAGTTGCTATGGGTAATGTCAATTTGCTCAATAGAAGCAAAAGTTCTTGGCTGTAATGGAAAAATAATATGATAATAATAATAATAATTAGAAAGGTATATGTCTACCTTTTGTCAATGAAATATTATTACTAACAAGCTTGTTAGTGTCGATTAGGTGTAATTTATTACAATAGGGTCCATTTATTTGGCAAGTTAGGTTGTGCATCATTATATTTAAATTATTTCTAACATTTTTTTCCTTCTGCGACAACCCTTTGCTAAGAGGAAGTGACGGAAAATGTACAGTCACCATGATACAGTCATGTATGATACGGATACAGATACGCGGCAACTCACTAGCAAATACCTTTGAACCACGTCATGTTTATGTCACGTAAAGAGACCAAATAATTAAATGTTAAATATTACCTTCACAATCATTTGGTTCAAGTTTTACTTCACACTTCAGAGCCTCCACACCAACATTGCCTGCATTCATCTCCAGTTCATGTCCCATGCTCAAGTGTACGACATTGTTCATGGTGAGTCTCTTCTTGCTGTTTATTCCTTGCAGTTTCACTTGTTCGGACTGTTGGCAAGATAAATTATTAACAAATTGAAAACTACATATGTTGTTGTTATTGCTTCAACCCCATTAATATTTGGTACAGGACAATTCAGCAATTCCTATAACAATATGAGAAAAGGAGTACGGCAGATCCTGTACCCCTAGTAATATATGATGGATGATTTTGAAATTTGTACCGTTTATATAGTCAATCATCCTTACTAGTCGATACTTGGCTAGTCGTTGTCGTAAATACAAACCGAAATACCCGTATGTACAAACACAATCACCAGTATGGTTATACGGTTATATGGTTTTCCCATCCGAACACAGTGCAGTTCGAACTGAGCCATCATCGAGACTGATGTCCCAACACCGACAACATCTCCAATGCCTGCATCTCCTCTCCAACATCTATTCCATCTGCACTTAATTCCCCCCTAATCCCTTCGCACGCTTAGACCACATCCATACTACAAAGGCGAGACGAGCGACTTTGTAGTATATTCGCAAGTCGCCGGTAGCCTATATCTTCGTCTCAACCACAAAGTGCAACCCTAACAAGCCCACCAATGAACTACGCACTACTACAGATCCAAGCATTCCTCGCCTTTCTCCAACGCCAGCACTAGCTCAACCCACACCAGCTACAGAACCACGTGGCCGGCGATTAAGGCGACAGCCAACGCTTAGTGCGGGGACCGCACGCCGTATTTTGATAACTAAATCACCGCGGCAAACTCAAATAGAAGAGGATGGAGTTATGAAGGATATTGATAAAAGGTATTTTAATATAATTTACTAACAATTAAATATAAAAACGTTTACAGACATTAAAAAATATATATATATTGGATATGTGCCCCACAGGGCAACGAAAACGACCTTTGAGAATTCCGATAATCCTTTCAATTGTATTACTTGTCTGGATATTAATGTTAGTGTAATGCCTCTCCGGTGTACCAGGAGCTGCATTGATGATTGAAATCATGCGATATATCTTGGACATAGGCCTCTCTTTAGAAAAGAGAAGAAGAAGAAGAGAGGCCTATGTCCAGCAGTGGACTAATAGAGGCTGTTGATGGTGATGATATATCCTGAATCACCTGCAACAATTTATTATTATTTACATGTTTTTTCTTTTATAATACGGTATTAAGTTACCGTATAAGTTTAGCTAAGTGTATATCACATCAACAGCCTATAATAGTCCACTGCTGGACATAGGCCTCTCCTCTCCAAAAGTACACTTAAAAAATCTTAATGAATATACATGGTTGTTAGGTAAGGTTACAATACTTAAAACTTCAAATTCATGTACGTAAAATTATCCTACCTAATTTACTTCAAGCTAACCAAACTACTTATTTGTTTTTTTTTGGTCATTGGTGGTAAATATAAACATCAAAAATAATTTAGAATAAAAAAGAAAAGAATTTAGAATAAAAATCGCAAAGAACACTTCACCACACACAGTGGTGAAGTGTTCACAGACACAGGTGATCCCCGAAACATCCTTTCCCAGTGATCACCTGCGTGAGTCGGTATGAGAGGGTCCCGAGACGCCTCTCGAGACAATCCTCCATAACGGGTCTTACCGCCGCGATGACGGCGTGCCCGGCGCTCGGCTCTCGAGCCAATCCGTGGAGTTCCAGCCAGGAGACTCGCCGCCTCAAAGGAGATCGTGCGGTACCCCCTTATGATCCTGATGGCCAGCACTCGCGGTCGTCGCAGTATCGCGACGTTGCTAGCCTTCAGGGCCCCGCCCATACTGGGCACCCGTAAAGGGCCATGGACCGCACAAGACCCGAGTAGAGTCTCCTGCAGGAGTCATCGGGTCCCTTCATGTTGGGCAGCAGCCGCGCCAACGCACGCGCTGCCCCAACCAACTTGGGGACCAGACCTCGGAAATGATATCCAAAGTCCCATCGGCCATCGAGTACGAGCCCCAGATACCTGATCGAGGGCTCGATGCCGATGCGAGTGCCTCCTACCGTGAGGCTAGATCCCTCAGGCGCCTTCCTCCGAAGCCCGTGGAAGAACAGGGCCTCGGACTTGTGCAGAGCCACCTCGAGACCCAGCCGCCGGATTCGCTCAACGACTTGGGCAACCCCGGCCGTGGCCCTCAGGGTTGCCACGTGGTGCGTCTTACCGCGCGCCGTCACGAGTGTGTCATCCGCGTAGCACACGACGGCGACACCACGAAGCACCCAGTCGTAGCCGATGTTCCACAAGAGTGGCCCTAACACCGATCCCTGCGGAACATCGCACGACATTTCACGCCTACCGAGACCGGTCCTACTGGGGTAGACGACGGCTCTCTCCGACAAATATGCCCCGACTATGCGGCGGAGGTAGAAAGGCACTTCGTGATACACGAGCGCCTCCCTGATGCAGCTCCAGGGCAGAGTGTTGAACGCGTTGGCGATGTCCAAGGACACCGCCAACACCACTTCGCCCCGGGAAACTGCTTCCTCCGCCAGAGCCTTCACGCGCATGATCGCATCCACGGTGGAGCGCCCCTGACGGAAACCGTACTGGTTGTCCGCCAGATCCGGCCCCACCATCACGAGATGCTTGACGAGGCGCCTTGCAATCACTCTTTCAAAGACTATGGGCCGGTAGGCGGACGATGAGTCCGCCGGGCGCCAATCTTTTTGGATGAGGACCAGTTTCCCCGTCTTCCACAATTTCGGAAACTGGCCCCGCTCGAGGCATGCGCTGAAGAACCCTCGCAGTCGGGGCTCGAGAGCCTCGTCGACTAAGGCCAGGACCCACGCTCGGCCAGGAATGCCATCGGGTCCCGGGGCGGTGTTTTTAGCTTTAAGCCGTAACACCGCTACCCTTAGTTCCACCCCAGTGACCTCAGGCACGTCGTCGTCATCCACGCTAGGCGCCTCAAGCGCCGGAGGCGGAGCCATCTGTGGCGGAGTATGCTCCACCACTCGCGTTGGGAACAGGGAGCCAACGACCCTCTCAAGCAGCTCTGGCTGAAGAAACCGGGTGAGCGGCGGGGCCCATGGGCGCATCTTGCCCCTAACCATACGGTATGGGCGTCCCTACGGATCCCGCTCTAGCGTCTCCAGATGTGTGGCACCCCCATAGCTAGTATCCACACTGGTAATTTGGATATCGGCATCACAAATCTAAAAGAAAGTTGCACAGATTGCTAAAATTTAAAGTAGGTATATACTTAACTTAGTTCCACATAATTGTGTATTACTAATTACCAATTGAACATTTAGGGAGTGCTATCACTCCCTATGTGCACTGAAGTCACCAATTTTTTTTTTTAATAAGACAACATTAGGAAAAATTCCTGTCTTTTTTTACTTTACTTTACAAACATACATGAAACGGACACAAAAACAATTTGTGGATCACACAAAGTGTCGTCTCATGTGGGGTTTGAACCCACAACACTCGGCGTAGTAGGAAGCGGCGTGGCGACCGCTTAAACTACTACGCCAACCGTGCAGTCTGACTCTCCAATTGGTCTTTGATAGGACCCAGTACCATAAAATGACAGGGCAGTTAATATCAAAACCAATAAAGTATTTTGACTTATTTGCTAGAAAAGTGGAGGGTACAAATTTAAGTAAGTATTACAAATAACATGAAATTTGGCATGCAAACGTTAAAGTATTATACAACATAAATTGTAAGGAAATTATTGAATTATGTTACAATTAAATTAAAATAAACTGAAAGTTGTTGGGTACATACTATATTGTTTTTATACTTTGAGGTTACTTGTATATTTATGACCGGTCTGCTGGTTACTGACCCTGACGGCTAAGCTAGACAACCCACAACAGGTTCTATTCGTACCCAAGACAAATAATTGTGTGATAAGCATTTGTTCTGTATCTTGTTCACTTCTTCACTTGTTCTTGTATATTTGTTCTGTATTGTGTGATAAGCATTTTTTCTATACTATGTACGTATTTATTTTAAAATTGTATAAGTATATTTATCAGCAGTCCGATTACCATAACAAAGCTTTGCCTAGTTTGGGATCGGTGTGTAATGTTTTTATTTTATTTTTTATATTACACATAGCAATGTGTAATATAAAAAAATAAAAAAATAAAAATTTAAGTGAATGTTAATGTAATCTATGTTCGTAATAAATGAATAAACCAACTAGTGCGGCACCACAAATTCTAACAAAACTAATAATCTCGGGCGCCAGGTGCCTTAACCTTAAATGAACACAGACAACTAATAACAAATACAATGAATGCCTCAAACAGCTCGGTCAGCGCTAGCCTTTAATCTAGGATGGGGGGCAGCTATTAAATAAAGAGATGTTATAAGCGTAAGTGGCAGTTTATTATCCCGTAGTGTCTGTAGAGTATGTAGGGGTAGTTTCCCTAACATTACTGATAGATTGCTGGTTTGATAAATGAGTAGACAACTTTACCGAATGATGATTTTATTGCTACTAAATTATGTACAAAAATTATGTATGTAAAGTAAGTGCCTATGTAATACGAGTGCAATACAAATGAGTGAACGCAAGCTAATTTCATTAACTACTACAAATGTGCGGGTTTGCTCGTACATGCTCCCACACAGGAGAAAATAACTATGTAAAATGATAGCTTATGAAATAAACTAGAACAATGTTAGCAGTTCAATATCTGTAGTAAATAACTTCTAAATTAAAAACATAAAAAGTAAGTACGAGTATATGAAAGGATGGAACATTATTACATTAACATTTAATGTCCCTAGTTACTTTTTCACTTTATGGATTGTTCACCTTAGTTTATCGCGCGCACTAACGAATAAGAATGGGCGACGAGGCTTTATTTAGTACACGTGCCCTAGAACTAGCCAGATTCGATCTGACACACGGAACACTGTCGTTTATTTCACTAACACAATGGAAAAACACTCTGTCACTACGTCTCTGCTGATCCGCCGATGTCGGCGCGCTCGCGGGCGGTACACGCCACGCGCGCACT